TTCCTGTAGTACATATCTGCTGGAAACAGATTCTTGCACTTTTCACTTATCTAAAAATGTCTATATTTTGCCGTCATTATCGAAGGATAATTTTTCTGGATATAGAATATCGGGTTGTTCTTTGTTTTCTATCAGCACTTTAAAGAGGCTACTCTGTTGCATTTTCTTATCATTGTTGGTCATTTGTGTTGTTGTTTGCCTGTTTATGATGTGTCATTTTTCTCTGGCTGTTGTCAAGATTTCCTCTTCCTCTTTGGTTTTAGTACACTACGCTGTGTTCCACACTTCTTTGAGGTCTGTGATGTGCCTTGTTGTGGTTTTCTTGGCGTTTGCTAAGATTCTCGGATCTGTAACATTATCTTTTCCACTATTTTGGAGAAATTTTTATTCATAAGTTCTCCAAATATTTTTTCCTGCTTCCCTTCCCTTCCCTTCCCTTTCCTTTCCTTCCCTTCCCTTCCCTTCCCTTCCCTCCCCTCCCCTCCCCTCCTCTCCCTGCCTCCCTTCCTCCCTCTCTCTCCCTCTCTCTCTCTCTCCACCCCCCACCCCTCCTCTCTACTTCTCTCTTCTCTCTCCTTTTCCCTCTTTCTCTCTCCGGCTTCCTCACTTCCCCCACTCCCTGCTTCTGGGGCTCAATTAAATATATGATAGACAAATAAATACTGTAGCACTGGTCACTGAGGCTGTGTTCATATTCAATTTTTTTCCCAGTCTTTTTTCTCTCTGTTCTTCAGATTGGATCATTTCTATTGATCTTTCTTCAGTTTGATTGATCTTTTCTTTTGATGTCTTCAGTGTGCTGTTAAGCCTATTTAATAAATATTTTATTTTAGAAATTACAGTTTTCATCTTAATGTTTTCCATTTGTTCCTTCTTTATATCATATGTTTCTAATTTGAAATTCTTTATCTTTTTATTCCTTATGGCTATATTTTTGTTTTAAGTAGCTTCTTTAAAGTCTTTGTCTGCTATTTAAAAATTTTGGTGACTCAGGATTATTCTCTCTTAGGTGTTTTATTCTTATGACTATGGGTCATATTTTCCTATTTCTTTACATGTTTTGTAAATTTTGATTATATGGTAGACATTGTAAATGGTATTTCATAGGAACTCTGGAATCTGTTATGCTGTCCTGAAGATTACTGATTTTATTCCGGCAGGCTATTTGTTACCTGTGAACTCTGTCTCTCCTGCAGTGAGCAGTAGAAAAATTTTAGTTCATTTCCCTCAGCCTCCCAGCTGTTATCTTCTGCCTGGTTCCTTGGAGTCTCCCCAGTATGTGCAGAATTCAGGGGAGGGGAGCCAATAATTAGGAAGGGGTTTACATGTGGATTTTGGTGCTCCTGTCTCTGAAATTTTTTCCTTCCTAAGATATTCTCCCTCAGTTTCCATCTGCTCTGGCAGTCCTAAATCGCATTCTTGGATTCATCAAGCCAATAAGATTATGGCTTTCTATTTGAGCTCCAGCCACTCCACAATAAACATACCTGAGACCTTTTCCAGGCCAAAAGCCCTACACACATAAATCACCCCTGCTGCAGTTCCCTTCTTAAGTGTTGATTCCAAAAATAAAAAATTAAAAAATAATAATAAAAAAAAGAGTTGATTCCACTTTAATTTCTGCTTTTGGTTGCTCATAACTGCCTTCAAGTGATTGTTTTTAATCTTTTCACCACGGTTTATACTTATCATCAGTGGAAGGTTTTATTGTGGTGTGGGCTACTCTACCATTTGGAAGTCTAACCTACCTTTAAATTCGGAGGATGTTTTTCTGGAGTTTAGAATCTTTGTTGGCAGTTACTTCCTTTCATTGGAGTTTTCTACTTAAAATAGTTACCTCTGAGAGGACATCACTGCTGATACTGACCTGCAAGAAGGTGACACGGGTAGATGGCAGAACCCTGCCATGGGAAGAAAGTGAGGGAGAGCACAGTTGGAAAGGGAGGTGTAAAGACTGAATAAAGGTGGATGTTTTCCCTAATGCTGACCACAGGTAGATTAAATCACCTCCTCAAACTGACAAGGGAAAGGTGAACCAAGAGTCACTCTTTCTGGGTCTTTCTACAGCTCTCTGAAGTTAAATGAATTGCTATTCCAAGATCTCAAAGGATTCTAATACCCAGAAGCCCCTCTAGTTTGTCAGTTCTCTTGTTTTGTGTGCTCTGTTCAGTTCTTTGGTCGGGCACTGTCCTGGGTACTGGTAAAGGAGCAGTGAATATAATAGGCATAGCACTCACCCCTCAAAACCTACAGCTGTGGGAGGAAGGGATGTTAGGCAGACACACCTCCCAAACAAGTTATTGATGACAACCTTGGTGACCAGTGTGAAAGAACGGTACCAGGAGGCAAGAAAGGATCCACGGGGGTCCAAAGAGCCTGGAGGGTGGTGTGGGATTAGGGAATCTGTGGGGTGAACACTAAAGCTTTCATCCATAATTCTGTGCTCAGATGTATGGAGTCAGGGTACAGATATTTTTCTTTGCATTGTGTAGGTAAATATAATAGATTGAAATCTTTAAAATACCATATTAAAATCTGTTCTCATTCTTTATGTGAATTAACTTCTGTAGAAATATTTCAGTAGAAGCTGAGACTAACGATGGAACTCTGCTCTAAGCTGGGAAGGAGCCGGTGGTCAGTTAGGGTGGAGGGAGAGGGAGTGGGGCAGCCTCCACATTAAGGGGTCTTTTTCAGAGGCAGGACTCCCCTGGATTCTGTGGGTGCCCAGATACACACTGACAAGGTGCTGTGCCCTGCAGCGGGGGCTGGAGGCTCAGCACTCCAGTACTAGAGTTCATTAGAACCCACGAAGAGGCCGTGCCCATCCGGATTTCGTTGAAAGAGTAAGTTTTCTTTGACTTGGATTTAGAGCTCTCAGAACTCCAAGAGTAGAAGGGTGGAGAGCAGGTGCTGGTTGAGGGGACACTGAGGTGGCCTGACTTGAGCTTGGAGTTCCAGTGGGAAGCACTGTCTTCGTGTGAGGAGCAAAAGGAGGTCTGGGAGGGATGGGCATTTGCCACGCTGCCTTTCTAAGTACGCTTTTACATCTGGCCTTTCCTTGGACTTTACTGCGGTGTGGGGAACGCGTGTTCAGAAGGACAAGTTACTTGGCCCAACAGAGCTGATGTTCCGTTGTCACAGCTCTGGGGTGTTTCCACCTGGCATGTCACATGAAGGAAACGGTTCTCCACCTGTGCGGCCTGCGGTCTCTGGGCAGACATTCCTCTGCAACCCTGAACATGTTTTCATCAGTCACCTGGCAGTGGTTTGAGCCCATCGGGCGGTGGGGATCCGGAAGCACAGGGGTCAGCTGGGAAGCCGGGTGTTCGTCCCGTGACTGACAATGGCGACTTTGAAGGGAGCCATTTGCTTGGACGACCGGCACTTACCTGCTGCCAGGCCGTGCTGGGCATGTGTGCTCTGGAAGCCTTTGTGCATAAACAGTAGCACGCGGCGGTGAGGAGTGGGCTGCGGGAACTGACAGCAGGGCTCAGCTTGTGCCTGCTGCATGCCGTGTCCTGGTCTCATTTCATCATAGTATTATCATCTTCCTTTTGCCTATGAGGATACTGAGGCCTGGCACTGGTAGGTGGTAGGGTAAAGATGCCACCCCAGAACTGCTTAACATCCAAGTCTTTGCCCCTTTCCTCCACCCCATGTTATGCTCTTATCAGTATGAAGATGCTTGGGATGTAAAACATGAGTAAGTTCTGAAACCTTCCATGCGACATGAGATCCATTTGTTGTCCCTTGGTCGGTGGGCAACCTTCGCCTCCTTGGAGGCAGAGCCTGCTGTAACAGTCAGCTGTGGAAGGCATGGACACCATTAGTTCAGTATTCTGTAGCAGGAATATTGACCAATAATCGCGTATTTGATTTCCATGAAGAGTGAGGGATTTTTTAATTCAGGAAGCAGCTGAATTTATAGGGATGAAATGATCATCGTGTCTGGGATGATTTGCTTAGAAATCACCTCCTAGGGCCGGGCGCGGTGGCTCAAGCCTGTAATCCCAGCACTTTGGGAGGCCGAGACGGGCGGATCACGAGGTCAGGAGATCGAGACCATCCTGTCTAACACGGTGAAACCCCGTCTCTACTAAAAAATACAAAAAACTAGCCGGGTGAGGTGGCGGCGCCTGTAGTCCCAGCTACTCGGGAGGCTGAGGCAGGAGAATGGCGAGAACCCGGGAGGCGGAGCTTGCAGTGAGCCGAGATCCCGCCACCGCACTCCAGCCTGGGTGACTGAGCAAGACTACGTCTCAAAAAAAAAAAAAAAAAAAAAGAAATCACCTCCTAGGAGTGGGATGGGGTGTGGGGGTAAAAATGAAGCAAGATTAGTCATATCTTGAGTTCATTGTATGTTCTTCACATTTTTGTATCTGTTTGAAATTTTTCATTGCATTCGAAAAAAAAGAATCTCAATGTAAATAAATGATGGTACAGTAGTATATCAAAATATTAGGTAGCCATTAAAATAACACGTGAAGAATTTTAATGATGTGGTATAAGTAAGACAATCAGGAAGTCAAGCTTCCTAATATGATATGTGTGCACGTGGACAAAATATTTGCGTAAAAATTATTGGAAGGAAATGAAAACATTAACTGTAGTGATCCTTGCTTGGTTGGGTTGTGGGTGATTTTCATTCTATTTTCCAAACTTCCTGTAGTAAACAAGAGAAAAAAAAATCATTTCTTATAATTTGAGAAAAACTGTTTTGAAAGAAACCTAATCTGCATTGTGTAAAATAGTGAAGCATTTGTTTCAGTGATCTGTTTTCCATTAAATTGCCCCAGTCAGTGATTAAACACTGTTGCGGTTGCTGATCTTGTGGCTGTGGACGTGGTTTTGGCCTGTACTGTGCTGCACTCTGCCCTGGACTGTCTTTGCTGGGGTGTGTGCAGGCCAGATCACGGCAAATGCAGTCACGAACACCGTTTCACTCATGGGTAACTTCTGCTAACCACGTTTCTGTAACGTGAATTTCCATCTAATTTCAGCGAGCTCGACATGATTTCCACAAGGGTGATGGACATTAAGCTTCGGGAGACTGCAGAAGGCCTTGGGGAGGACAGCACAGGTAAGGCCCTGCTTCCCCTGCTCTGGGGAGAGCACTTGCTTTGTTGTGGGGCAGGGAGAGGGGCTGACAGAGGCAGGCCTTTGGGGCTCTCTGTATGAAAAGTGGGGGTTCAGTTCCCAGCGTGCTCAGATACCCCCAGGCCCTTCACACTGTGACTGAGGGCACATGCACATTATTTAAGGCTGCTTGGGGCACATTTCCTCTGCTTCTCTGTCAAGCACAGGGACCTTTTAGCTCATTTTCTTCCTTTCTGGAGGTAACCATGTCCCCGTGTTTGGTTGTCATGAATGCAAAGGAAGAGGTACTAAATGGATTCATTCACCATCTAAGAATATCCAAAGGTATCAGTAGGAGGCTGAGCAAAGTACCTGGCAGCCTGATCATCTGTAAAAAAATCATTACATCAGGACCCTTTGATCCCTCTCCTTCATGACTTTTGTTCTGAAGGAGATCTTTACTATGTTCTCTGCTGAGCTGAATTCCAGGCCCATGAATCACCATCTCACAAGACATTCGAAGAGTTCTCCAATCATGTGATTGGTTTACTGTTATCCACATATTGCTGTTTATGTCGATAGAGTTGTAAAATTGACATTAAAAAAGTAATCTCCCCACAATGTACCTTTTCCCTAGATTAGCCATTCATATACTCCCCTTATTTTGGTAACCAAGGCCTTCATCTCTCTCTTATTTACATTCAAAATGCCAGTAGTGATCTTCTTTGATACAGTTCAGGAGAAACAGCTCCCAATAATATTAAATCCTAGCTGCTAGCCACTAGCTTCGGATGCTAATATCAGCAAAGGCTCCATTTCAGATATTAAAGATAGATTTTTTCTTATTATTTCATATTAGAACCATTTTTCCTCTGTCACATTTCAATGGATACCAAATAAATCCAGATTTAACGTGAGGGTTTTTAGATGAGCCCTGAAGAAAAATTGAGTTTCAAATTTTCTCATATTATGGGACACTGAATTATTACTTGTTTTAAACAACAAACGTTTGAATAAATATTTCATCAGCCTGAAATGACCTCAATAAGTGCTAGTTCTGAATACACACAGAGGTTACTGAAGAAAACGGACTAAGTTTTCCTTTTTTCAAATAGTGAGCTTAAGTTATTCAGACCAATCCTCTTCCACTTAAAATTTAAAATTCTAGATAAGAATATTCTTTAAAATATTTTTCACAGTAAGAAATAATAAAGCCAGAATTGAAAGGCAAATGGGCCAGGCACAGCAGCTTCCATCTGTAATCCCAGCACTCTGGGAGGCCGAGGTGGGAGGATTGCTTGAGCCCAGGAGTTCAAGACCAGCTTGGGCATAGTGAGACTCTGTCTCTACAAAAAAATTTTAAAATGGGCTGGACATGGTGGCACACAGCTGTAGTCCCATCTACTTGGGAGGCTGAGGTGGGAGGATTGTGTGAGCCCAGGAGGTTAATGCTTTAGTGGGCTATGATTACACCACTGCACTCCAGCCTGGGCAACAAAAAAAAAAAAAAAAAAAAAAAAAAAAAAAAAAAAAAAAAAAAAAAAAAAAAAAAAAAAAAAATAGAAAAGGAAAATGGTAACCTGGAGAGACAACAGAGTATAAAAGCCACTTTTGCCCTTAGATCATTTACCAGTCTTGGAAATGTTCATGTCTTCATGGGGTGGAAGGTGAGAGCAAGGTCAAATATCAAACTACAAGGTCTGTGTAAGGTAGATGGTCTAATAGAAGACGCCCTCTACAATAAAGGGGAGCCAAGGAGCTACCAAATCTGAGTAGGTGTGAAGTAGGGGTAAACCAACCCTTTTGTAGATTTGTAGCTTGAGTTTCCACCATTCGGGTAATTCAGAGAACCTCAACCCTTGAACTTGGTTCATACTGCTTCTAGACTGGATTCAAACCCAGGTACTTTGCAGAAACAAATAATATTCACTAAAGGAAGGCGCCTTCTATTTAGACTTCAAGTTATTACAGAAAACAGTATTTTCAGTGTCATGACAACCACATAGTGATAACCAGGCATCAAAGGCAGCAGTATACTATGAATGAGAACGAACATGCTATGTGTTGAATGGTGCTCCCACCAAATCCATATGTTGAAGTCTCCAGCATCTCCAAATGTGGCTTTGTTTGAAGACGGGGTTATTGCAGATGTAATTTGTTAAGATGAGATCATATTGGAGTAGGGTTTCCTTATGAAAAGGGGAACTATGGACGGAGATATGCACACAAGGAGAACGCCATGCACATGTGAAGACAGACAAGAGAAACAGACACATGAAGGCATCAATATCAGAATTACCAAATACATCCTATAAAACAACTATGCATACTATGTTTGAAGATAATAAAAAAGTTTTAAAACATCCAGGGAAAAGTGGCATAGCACCCAGCCAGTGCAATAAAGCAAGAGAAAGGAATAAAAGACAGAGAGATGGAAGAAATAAAACTGTCTCTATTTATAGACGACATGATTATACAACATATACAGAAAAACACTCAGAACTCTTACACAAATACACCAAGATTGCAGTGCAATCTTTAAAAGTCAGTTATGGAAGACCGACACACAGTTAGCTCAATATTCTGTAGCAGGAATACTGACAAGTAATAATTTATTTGATTTCCATGAAGAGTCAGAGATTTTTTCATTTAGGAAAAAGCCAAGTCCACATAGATGAAATAATAATAGTGCCTGGGATGATTTTTTTAAAATAACCCATCAGAAATGGGGAGGAGGAGGGGTAAAGAGGAAGCAATCAAAATCCCAGCAGAACTTTTTGCAGATATTGGCAAACTGATTTGAAAATTTGTGTGAAAAAACAAAGAGCTAGAATAGGTAAAAACAATTTTGAAAAAACGTAAAGTTGAAAGCTTCGTACTACCTGTTTTTAAGACTTGCTATAAAGCTGCAGTAACCAAGACAGTATGGTATTGGCAAAAGGATAGATACACAGAGACAGAAGGAAGTAGAGTTCAAAAACAGACCCATACAAATATGGTTAATCAATTTTGACAAAAATGCAAAGGCAATTCATTGGAGAAAAGATAATATTTCAACAAATGGTGCTGGAACAATTGGACATTCATATGTAAATATACCTCACAGATTATACAAAAATTAACTCAAAATGTGTCATAAACCTAAATATAAAACTCTTAACGCCTTTAAAAGAAAGCATAGTAGAAGATATTTATGACCAAGGATTGGCAAGGATTCTTAGATATAATACCTGAATCCATAAAGGAAAAAATTTATAAATTGGACTTCATCAAAACTTTAAAATATGCTCTGAGAAAGACACTTTTAAGAAAATGAAAAGACAAGTCACAGACTAGAAGAAAATATTTATAAATCACACTTGATAAAGGACTTATATCCAGCATATATTTGGAACTCTCAAAATTCAAAAATAAGAAAACAAATAACTCAGTTACAAAATGAGGAGCAAATTTTAAATGATGCTTTAACCTAAGAAGATGTGCGGATGGCAAATAAGCATATGAAGAAATCTCAATGTCTATAATCATTAGGTAATGCAGAGTAAAACTACAGTGAGCTACCAGGACACACCTATTAAATGTCTGGAGAAAACCACCATAGCAACAGGAGCTGATAAGGATACACTGAAGGGAGGAATGCAAAATGGCACAGCCACTTTGGAAAAACATGTTGGCAGCTCCTTGTGAAATTAAACATACACTTAGCCTATGACTCGGCAATCCAACTCCTAGGTATTTACTTGGCAGTGGAAACTTATGTTTACACACACACACACACACACACACGCACGCACAAACTATAGCAACTTATTTATAATTACTAAAAACTGAAAAGAACCCAGATGTCTTTCAGCAGGTTGAAATGGTTCAACAAACTGGTATATTCACACAATGGAGTTCTACTCAGCAATAAAAAGAAATAGACTGTTGATTTGGTATAACATGAGTGAGCCTCTAATGTGTTGTGCTGAGTGAAAGAAGCCAGAATGAAAAAGGGACATACTGTGTGACTTAATCTATATGACATTCTAGAAAAGGCAAAACTATAGGAACAGAAAAGTTATAAGTGGTTGCCAGGGGTTAAAGGTAGCGGGGAATGTTGGACTACAAAAGGGCAGCATGAGGACAGTCCTGTATCTTGATTGTGGTGATAATTATACAACTCTATGTACAACTCTATGTACACCAGAAAGAATGAATTTTACTGTGTGTAATTTACAAAATAATTTTTTTTACAAGGTGTAGCAGATTTGAAAAACAAAGGAATTTTTAGAAATAAATGTAATGATTAAAATTTTATTTTACATAAATTCATTTAAAATAAATGTAATTATTAAAATTTTATTTTCAATTATATTTATGTAAAATAAAATGTAATTATTAAAATGCATGGTTATAACTGCAGATTATATCAGATCAAGATAGATCACAAGAAATTATACAAAATGTACCATAGAATGGTAAAAAATGGAAAATACAGAGAGGGGAACAAGGAGCGTAGAGAGTAAGTGAAAGGGTGTAATATCCATTTGAGCATAGTCTCAGGGGAGGAGAGAAGGACTGAGAATTTTCTGGATTTTATCAAAAAGATGACCCAACTCACAGGTTTAAGAAACCCAATGAATCCCAAGAAGGATAAAGCAAAGAAAAATCCACATGAGGTAAAACTGCAGAAAACCAAGGAGGATGAAAAATCTTAAAATGAGTCTGAGAAAAAGAGACAGATTACCTGGACAGGAGCAAAAAAATAACTAATGCCTAACTTCTCAACACAACAGAAGCCACAAAACAGGGAAATAATAGCCTAAATATCCTTAGGAAAAGTAACTGCCAAACTATTATGTTGGCACAAAAGTAATTGCTGTTTTTGCCATTAACTGTCATGGCAAGAGCTGCAATTACTTTTGCACCAGCTTAATAGAATGTTATACCTAGGAAAAATGTATTTCAGGAGTGATGGAGAAATGAAAGCATTTTCGGACAAACAAAAACTGGGTTGGTCCCAGTAAGCCCCCAGTAAACACAGATTCTGCACGAATGTGCCCTCAGGCCAAAGGAAAATCTTCCTAGTGCACAATCTGGAGTATGAGAAGCAATGAAGAACAAAGAAAACAATAAGCAAGTGCATACATCTATGTGAACATGAAATAACTTCGGGTTTTTTTTTAACAATCAGAATTAAAACAATAGTGCCAAAAATGGAATTGAAGTATTCTAAGGTCCTTGTATTGACCTGTAATCACATGTGTAGTATAATTTCTAGGGTAACCACTGAAAGAGGAAGCAAAAGATAAGGGTTATAAACTAGCAATGGAAGAAATGGAATGTTTTTTTTTTTTTTGAAGATCAATGAAAAAACACATAAGATGATAGATTTGTTTTTATTAATATATCAGTAATAATAGTGAGTGTGAGTGGATTAACTACTTAGATTAATCAATTACATTAATTGTTCCAGTTAAGAGTTAAAGATTATCAGATTAGATTCCAAAACTCTAAATATATGAATCTTAACTATAAAGGTTCAGAAAAGTAAGGATAGTAATAGGATACAAAAACCTGTACCTCGTGAGCGCTGGGTAGAGGAAGATGGTGTAGCTATACAGGTTGAATATCCCTTATCCAAAATGTTGGGATCAGGAGTGTTTCAGATTTCAGATTTTTTCAGATTTTGGAATACTTGCATTATACTTACCAGTTGAGTGTCTCAAATTTGAAAATCCAAAGTCTGAAATGCTCCAGTGAGCATTTCCTTTAAGCATCAGGTGGGAGCTCAAAAAATTTCAGATTTTGCGGCATTTCAGATTTTCCGATTTGGTATGATCTACCTGTACTAAGAGCAGTCAAAATGAAATGTAAGGCAAAAAACATAACTAAACATAAAGAGGGCCTTTTCACAAAATGTTCAGTTCCTCAGCAAGATGATAATTTTACATTTCTATGCATTAATGTATTATAGAAAGTTGTAAGTATTACAACTCTTTTAGAATTTGTCTAGCAGGCTTTCCAGTTTTTGCAGGAAAGCAACCTCCCCAACAAATAAAGTTGTAAAGTAGATACTGACAACTAAAGATAAATAAGAAAATCTGTCATCAGAGTGGGGTTATTTTTAACACATCTCTCTCAGTAATTGCTAAAACAAACATTTTAAAAGTCAGTAAAGATATAAAATACTTGGGCAACACAATTTTTTAAGAGAGATCTTCTAATTGACATATATAGAACACTGAAGAAAAAGCATTATTTTCAAGCACACCAGGAACATTTTTAAAAATTGTTCATGTGGTAAGCCATAAAGCAAGTATCAACCGATTTGAATGGGTTCAAATCGTTCAGAGTATGTTACTGGACCACAGTGCAATTAATTGAGCTAGAAATCAATAACTAATTAGCTAGAAATCAATAACAATAATTATTAGAAATAATAATTAAGCTAGAAATAATTAATTAAGCTAGAAAATCCTCAACTGCTTGGAAATGAAGAAGACATACTTTCCTAAATAACCCACAAGTCTAAGAAGGTATCATAATAGAAGTTAGAAAATATTTTTGACCAAACAATAATGAAAATACTACGTTCTCAAATATGTAGATGCAGCTAAAACAGACTTAGAGGGAAATGCATTGCCTTAAATATTATATTATAAAAGCAGGAAAGTCTAAAAAGTAATAAACCAAATGTTTATCTCAAGAAGTTTAAGAAAATAGTAAAGTAAACCTGCAGAAAGTAGGAAGGAAGGAATAAAGATAAGAACAGAAATTAATACAATATGAAATAGACATTCAACTGAAAGAATTAACAAAGCTAAACTTTTTTAAGGCAATTAAAATTGATCAGCCTCTGGTGCCATTGATCAAGGAACAAAGAAGAGGCACATTTATGATCATTCATATCAGGGTAAGAAAAGAGGCATCAGTCACTATAGATGTTGTGAATGCTTGAAAGATATAAGGATATTATTAATAATTTTTGGCCAATACATTTTAGAATTTGGAAAAAAATACATTTTCAGAAAAATGTTACTAAAAAAACAGATTCAAGAAGTAGAAAACTGGACTAGTCCTGTAACCGTTAAAGAAATTGAACTACAAAGACTAGCAGAAGAAATATAACTTGAACAAATGGATGGCTGACTCAGCCCTGCCAGTGGAACAAAGGTGTACAGCAGTTATACTTGAGGTCTACCAGTTATACATGAGGACACCATTAATGCAGCATCTTTGATGGTTGTGATACTGAGGTTGTGTATCTATTCAGGCCTTCAAGGATGCGTTCCAATTTGTTGACTAGGCAAAAGCCACAGGGTGTCCTGATGAAATGCAGAAAACTCTTAAGAGTCTTTCAAAATAATAAATGCTCACTGAGAACCATCTACTAACAACATAAACATTTTCTACGATTGTAAAGTTGAGAACACTTCCACACTAGGAGTTGAGAAAACTGTGCCGTAGAACTGATTTATCCTTGGAGAGTGATTTGTTCTACCTGTAATGATGTAGGAACTCCTACTAAAGTAATCCTAAGGAATTCTCCCCATGAGAGTAAGATCATGTAAACTTCCCAAGGAGGCAGTAATATAAACACAAGAGAAAGATCCTGAGTTTTTTAAGGAATTCAGTTTATTAAATTATTATAAAATCTAATGAATTGTTTTGCAAATTTTCAGGAGGTATTAGACAGCATCCTGGTAATCTACGATGCTACATCCCTCCACTGTCAGTTCTGTAACTATTCTGGAAAAGGAATGAACTTTGCTGAGCAGCTAATGTGAAATCATGGAAACCTGGGTATGATAGAATTTGTGGGAGAGAATGAAGTTGTCACCAGAGAAGCGATCACAAAATGTTGAAAAGTGTGGTGAATTCTAATAATCCAGGAAGCATGGCAGAGTTGGGCTCAGCCTGGCCACACCCCTCCCCTTTGGAGATGACCAGTCTCATTATTTTTCTCACCAAAAGTCATTAGCTCATCATACAGTTGGTGCCCTAGAGAGCCACCTTCTTGCCCATGAGGTTGGGCCTCCTCTGTCCTTGATGCTGTATTCACACTAGACAAAGCATTTCAGAATTTTAAATATTTTTTTGAGAGAGAGGGTCTTGCTCCATCACTAAGGCTGGAGTGCAGTGGTGCGGTCATAGCTCACTGCAGCCTCAAACTCCTGGGCTCAAGCAAACCTCCTACTTTAGCTTCCCTAGTAGCTGGGACTACAGGCATGTGCCACCATGCCCAACTTTTTTTGTTTTTTGTTTTTGTTTTTGTTTTGTAGTAAGAAGGTCTCACTATGTTGCCCAGGCTGGTCTTGAACTCCTGAGCTCAAGCAAACCTCCTGCCTCAGCCTCTCAAAGTGCTGGGATTACAGGTTGTGAGCCACCATGCCTGGCCAAGAATTATTTTCTAAATAGCTTGGGTTATCCCGTAACCTTTACCTCCTCAGGACTTTTGTAGTTGACTTACATATATTTTAGAAATTAGAACTTGGTTATAGATGAGAAGAAAGTGGCTAATTTTGATTCTGTGATCATCTTCCAAAGTGTTCTTGGCTCTTTTGCTTAAATATCCTAAATAAAAGAAAACAAGATGTGTTTTCAGGTGTGCAAAACTGGTATACCATGTACTTCTGCACCGTAAAAGGACTTTCCAGAAGCAGATAACTGATGCATGGATGGAAATCTTGCTTTCTCTCTTTTACGTGCCCATTGCATACATGCACATGAACACATATTGTAACACTCTTACTTATTATTACTAATTATTTGCTTTTTTCTCTCATCTGTATAGGAAAGAAAAAATCTAAATTCAAAACTTTTAAGAAGTTTTTTGGGAAGAAGAAGAGAAAAGAATCGCCATCATCCACAGAAAGTAGCACCTGGAAACAGAGTCAGACGAGGAATGAGGTCATTGCCATCGAGTCTGGGCCAGTGGGCTACGACTCCGAGGATGAGCTGGAGTAAGTTGCATTTTACATCTCTCGGGCCAGGAGCACCCAAATACACTATTTCATTATCCTGGTGACTTGCTGGATTTCTGAGCCCCCTTTCCTCCTGGGTAATTCCATTACAGGTTCTTCCATAGAAGTTGTGTTTTCTGTCTTTTCAAACTTAGGGGTGGAGAACGCTGTGTGTGTTTAAGTCCACAGTAACTGTGGGAGACGAGGTACTGTATGCCATTTTCTAAACGGACAAAATAAGCCCTAGATAAAATTCGGAACTTGCCCAGCATCCTACAGCTGCAAGTGACAGGATCAGGATAGGGTCCCTGGTTTAACTTGACTTAAAACTCTTTTGAGGACTAGATACTATACTAGAAAAATACATTTCTCTAAACTTGAACGTTGAATAATCTAATCAGAATATTTTCACTTGATGGGGGTGGGGAGGGGGTGCTTCTTGCTTTCTTAGAAAAAATCATCCAAAAATATCATTAAGAACAGACCCAATAAGCACAAAAAACTAGGGAGGTCTAGTAAAGAAATCCTTATTTTTGTAACTTGTATTTCATTAAAATATAGTTACAGTACATATGCTGCAGTTATTCTAGCAGTTATTTCTGTGACTAAGAGGAAACGAAACAGATTTGTTGCTATGCTAGCTTTTACCTTTTTTTTTTTTTAAGACAACACTGGCCCTTTAAGGGTAGAACTCTTCAGAAAACATAATATCCCTCAGGTTTGGGGTACAGACCACGCCGAGATGGGTTCCAGGCTTGAGCATCCAGATAATGGTGTCCTGTCCCCTCCCCTGCTCTCCCCTCCTCCCCAGCTTCCTCGCCTGTTTTTTTTAAAGGAGTAGAAACGTTACTGGCCACTTGGTGGCACCAGATGACTGGAAAGGAAAGATTGGAACTTTTTTTTTTTTTTTTTTTTTTCCAGTTTTGGGTTTGTTTTTTGGTTTTGTTTGTTTTTGGTGCTAGCAGGGATTGTAATAGACTCATATTGCACCGTGTGAAGTGTGGAAGGGATACACTGTGCTTGCATTTTTTATTTTTTATTTTATTTTTATTTTTATTTTTATTGAGACGGAGTCTCGCTCTGTCGCCCAGGCTGGAGTCCAGTGGCCTGAACTCGGCTCACTGCAAGCTCCTCCTCCCGGGTTCACGCCATTCTCCTGCCTCAGCCTCCTGAGCAGCTGGAACTACAGGCGCCCGCCACCATGCCCGGCTAATTTTTTGTATTTTTAGTAGAGACGGGGTTTCACCGTGTTAGCCAGGATGGTCTCGATCTCCTGACCTCGTGATCCGCCCACCCTGGCCTCCCAAAGTGCTGGGATTACAGGCATGAGCCACCGTGCCCAGCCGTGCATGCACTTTTTTAGGCGATGCTCTGAACTCTTGGGGAACGAGATGTTATCACCGATAATCTTGCTAATTATTCAATGTCATCACTTTGCAAGCCCCAGGGAAACTAACATCCACCCCCATCCACCCCGTCTGTTGACTGGAGCACACAGTTCTGGTGTTGGAGAGACAGGCCTGGGTGTGGCCCCTCTAACCACAGATGGGAGCCCAGCCAGAGGGGCAAGCTGGGATGAATTGTCCTGCCCACTTGCTGATGTCCTCCCTGCCACCGGGGTCCAGGGAAAGTGGAGACGGTGTGCTTTTTATCTTGATATTCCTAGCACCTTGCAGGGAGCTGGTGCTCAGTGACTGCTAACAGTTTGCTGGTTTTGATGCTAGGCAAGGAAGATTGGGGGTGGGGCATGAGGAGGCCTGGGAAGTGCAAATGACATTTTTAGACAGCAGCACAGAGGAAGAGGAAGGTACTGTTTGGTCTGTGGGAGAGTCTGCGGCAACCTCTCATCCATCACTGAGGGGAAAACAGCTCCATTTACTGAGGCACATTAGTGCGAGCAAACCACGTGGGACCCTGTGGGTTGAAGAAAGTGACGCCCATTCATCGCGTCTGTGTCTGTGCGGTTGTGCTTCTTAAATCTGTAACGATTTCCTTTTGCCCTCTCCCTTTGTTTCACGTCATTGATCTGAAGGCAAAGCAGGGCCATGTGTCCTGCAGAATGTCCCGTATTCTGGCTTTGCTTTCTCTTGGTGTGATTCAGCTCTTTCCTATATTCTCCCAATTCCCGGTACATCATTCGGTGGATCCAGATGCTGTCAGGTTCAAGCAGGTGCTGGATGTTGTCACATCCCGGGATGAGTCACATGCTTTCTGAGCAGTGGGTTCAGGGTGTGTCATTGTGGTCCCTCCACCAGCCTTCACCTGACAGTTTTAACACTTGGTGATGATTTGTTATTTTGTCACAAAGTGGTGGTTTTTCTAATTCTGTCATTCATTGTACACTTGCTAACTGAAATTCCTTGATGAAGAACTTTCCTCCATCAATTGCTTGGTTGCTCTGAAATACAATCTAGAGGAAAGTCAGGATCATGCTTGGCTCTCCTTTCATTGATCCACCCTCAGAGTAATGACGTGGTCCCCTGGCAACTCCTGACAGTGGCCAGTGGGTTTTGTTTTTTCTTTTTTTTTTCCCAGATATCATTGGAATGCATTACTTTTTATATATTTGATTTGCTTTTTAATCCATGACAGTCTTTGTTCATGTAATGCTCAAGTTGTTCCATCTTAGGCTGTTGAGAGTCACTTGAAATTCGCTCTGTCTTTTGACATGACCCCATTCATCTTTGATGGCTTCCTTACTTTCTTGTCCAATGAGAAATCTCAGGTTTATTTAGTGTATTTTCTTCCCCTGACCTGGAATCAGCACTTTCTTCACAGGGCCCTGGCCCCCTCCTTGTGGTGTGCAATGGCTTTTAAAGACCTCAGTCCAGCTGCCGGGGTGATAATTACTAATTGACTGTCACTGATTCTAAACCTGTCCAGTGGATATAGCTAGGAAATGGTTTACTTTTCAAGAGAAAAATTTATCATCGATTTGCTGATATTTCCAATTCAAGTTTAGTAAGACAACATTTTTCTGTCTTTAATTCTTTGTATTCTCTTTTCTCTTACGCTGGAAACCAGGGCTCCTTATGATATTAATGAAATGACTTATTTTCTTTAACCTATCATATATTCATAATAATTTCCTTATCCCTTTCCTACATGGAAGTTAAAGATACTATAAATACTTTTCTGCACACTGTCTTATAATCAGTATTATTGCTAATAAAACTGCAGAGTGCAATTCAATATTTTTGGTTTTTTAATTATTATTACTACTCATAAGATTAGTGAGTGCAATTTGTTGTCTTTGGTTTTCTTGTTGTTTTTCTTAGAATGTATTCTATCTTGGATGTGCAGTCGAAGTCACTTGAAATTATTATATTCTCTGTGTGGTCATGCCAACAATCTGATATAAAATTAGAATTGTTTGTTTGTGTTTGTTTTCTAGTTTTAGTTTTTTTTTTTTTTTTTTTTTGAGACGGAGTCTCGCTTTGTCGCCCAGGCTGGAGTGCAGTGGCCGGATCTCAGCTCACTGCAAACTCTGCCTCTCGGGTTCACGCCATTCTCCCACCTCAGCCTCCCGAGTAGCTGGGACTACAGGCGTCGGCCACCTCGCTCGGCTAGTTTTTTGTTTTTTTTAGTAGAGACGGAGTTTCACCGTGTTAGCCAGGATGGTCTCGATCTCCTGACCTCGTGATCCGCCTGTCTCGGCCTCCCAAAGTGCTGGGATTACAGGCTTGAGCCACCATGCCCGGCCTTTTTAGCGATTTTTTAATTTCTCTTTTTGTTTGGTTTCGTCTTTTAATTAGATAAAACGTTTATGTAGTTTCAAAGACAAAGTTGTAAATGTAGGTATCTTTGCACTATGTCTCCTCATCTAGTTATTTCTTTCCCCCTAAAGGAAACCACTTTTATTTACTTGTTATTTCTTCTTCTGTTTTCATTTTTTTAAAAATAAGAAACACACACACATGTTCAGATAGTATCCAGGCCCCCCTTTCCTATGCAGTGCTGACATACTGTGGACATTGCTCTGCAGTGGTTGTTATTTATTTCACTTAGTAGTATCTGGTGATGCCTGTATGCAGCGTGCGGAGACCCTCCTGCCCATCGGACCAGCTGTGGAGTCCTCCATTGTATGACATTCATGGTTGATTCAGTTAGATGCCTACTGAGGGGCACTGGGCGTTTCCCGTCTTTCAGTCTTCTGAATATTGCTGTAGTGAATGGCCTTGCACATGTGCCATTTTGTGTTTTTGCAGAGGCCTCTTCATGCTGCCTGCACTCCTCGTTACATCCAAAACGGAGGTGCTTGGGTGGTGGTTGTGGTTCCCAGAGAGTGTGGGCCATGGGCTGTCCCCTGGGGAGGAGAAATCCAAGTGTGTGTGCGACCTTTGGGTTAAGAGCTGCCCTGGGCAGGGAGGGCCCGATTCCTTCAGTGGGTGTGGTTCCCTCCCTGGCATGTGAGGACACGCACATCCTGGGAGCCATGGGTTCCCACTTGCAAGCTTACGGTTGCAGGCATGAGAGTTTAATGAGAAGGAAGCATTATTAACCAACACAGTTTGGTTGACAGTGGGACAGGGCCACACCTCAGAGTCCTTAATGCCCCACGGTGGACAGGATGCCCAGGGTAGGGGAGTGGCAGGAGGGGAGGACGTGGGGTGGTGCACACGAGACGTCCCGTGTGTGCAGAGGTAGGCTTTCCTGCCTTCATCACTGGGTCTCAGTCATCTCCTTCCACCTATTGTTCAGGCAGCCAGCGCTGCTAGGAAAATTTGACAGCTAATTCCCACATCCTTTTAGGACATTTTGTGAATGTCCTGTGGGTTCAGTCCCAGAGCAGATTCTTGAGCTCCGAGCTGAGGAAAGGACTGGGACGGCGACGACAGAAGGCCACCATCTCTGCTCCAGGATCTAGGCAGGCACAGAGGTTTTGGTCACACGGATGGTGCCAGGTCATAAAAAGAGGCCACGGCTTTGCACATTAGTAGTTCTCATTTCAAACTAGCCACGGATGTATGTCTTGGTTTGTCTTGTGAGGATGCGTTCATCAGGTAGGCCCTCAGCCTGCTGCACACATACAGCCTTCAGCCCATGGAGGGGCTGCGTGTTTGCCCACAAGGCGGGACCTCACCCTCCCCGGGGCAGCCAGGACATCCTCAGAAGCTGGCCGTGCCAGCCCTTCCCCTCTGCGGGCTTGCTGTCTTGCACCTCACACCTTGTCAAACCTTGGTTTTTTCATTAATAAAAATAATTCACGCAACCTTTAGATCTCCTGGGAAGATTCCTATCTCTGCAATGCTCTAAATAGTTGACAGTGTGTGGATGAACTGAAGTCAGGGACCCCTGAAATGTAAATGCAGCAGAGGGAGTGTCGTTTGATATTCTGTTAACCCACATCCCCCTTTCTCATTCTGAGTCCCCCGGGGGTCAGTAAGATGGAGGTGGGCAGAGTCTCACAGTGGCTCTTTTATCCTAGGGAGTCGAGGGGCACGCTGGGCAGCCGGGCCCTTTCTCACGACAGTATTTTCATTCCTGAGTCCGGACAGGACCCTACTCGGCCTGTGCGGGTGTTTTCCCAAGAAAATGTGTGTGATCGGATTAAAGCACTGCAGGTAAATGTTTCCTTGGTCATGTCACCTGGTGTGCAAGTCAAGTATCCACTGAGAAGTTTTTAAATGATTTCCGCTTGGTTTATTTGATATGCCGTAAAGTAGAATCACATGTACATGACAGCTCTCCCAGGAGACACCAAATGAGTTACAGTGGGATCTCAACTCATTCTTAGATGAACAAAGAAGTGATGGCAGTGGAAGAGCTGGTGGCAGATGCACGTTCAGTTCTCTGCACCACGCCAAGACACTGAAGGCATTTCCAGCATGAATGAGTTAGAGCAGGAGGATCTGTTGATAAATATCATTGATGAAAATAAGAGCACATGTTCTTTATTCCAATCTAGTTAAAAATACAGTGTAATGTGAAAATGGGGCCACCGCCGCCTCCAGGGGGGCTTCCTGCCAAGCGCGGAGAGGATGCTGGCATGAGCTCTGAGGATGATGGGCTGCCCAGGAGCCCCCCAGAGATGTCTCTGCTGCACGACGTGGGTCCCGGCACCACCATAAAGGCAAGTACGGCCTAAGCCACTGCACGTCTCCATCCACACTTGCCCTGGAGGGCGCTGGAGCTCTGGGATCCCCTGTGTGTGTCCCTGAGATTTCTATGGATAGGTGAGGCTGTGCACGGTGTGGCCGACTGGGTCACTGGAGCCTACAGTCAGCCCTTGAGCTGTGTTTGTTTTCGTTCTTTGAGTAGAAATTCAGGTCTGGTTAGGAGACGTGGTTTTGGTGACATTTGTTGTGAGGGTGATAGGTTGATAGAATCAACCCAGAATCAACCCTGTCCCTTGACTTTCCTGTCTGAGCAGATGACCAGACCCAGAACCCCATTAGAAGTAGGGAAACACATTGTGTCTGTTTTCTGTTGCCATGACATTTGGCCGGCGGGAGGGGCAAGTAGTGAGCACGTGATAGTCCAGGCTCTGATGGTTTCTGGTGCCTGAGTCTGTGACCTGAAGGCGGTGTCGGCATAGGGGTAGTCATGTGCTGTGTTGCTGGCAAACAGGGCAGCAGGGAAAGGTTGACAAGCAAGAGAGGAACTGATGACCTCAGCAGGGTGGAGGAACCAGTCCCAAACACCACCTTTCCCATTAGAATCCAAGAGGGGGGCCCCCGAGGAGCTGAGCTCTTTCTCGCGCGTAAACAACACAGCTTGCGGTGCTGCCACATTTTAAACTATGTTATTGTAGTAAGAGCACTTAATGCCCATACACTGTACTTGCACATAAATGTTAAAAGTAGGTGGTCATCGTTCCCGTGTAGACAAGGCTGACTGTGGAGGATGGATAGAGTTGGAGTTATCTGTTACGCTGACACCTGAAAAACAAATCAAGGCCAGAGTTATTTTTATAGCCACACACCTGCCCCTGTCACCTCTGGCCTGCTTGAGGGGCCATTCACAGTGAAGGGGGGCTTCGTTGTGACCCACTGCCTTGCAGATTCTGTGCTTCTCTGAATTCTGTTCAGTAGCCACTTCAATGTTGACACCTATAAACCCGGCCACACCCGATTTTTGTGTAGTTGTGAGTTCCCAGAACGTCACTGATGAAAAAGGCAGAAGGACTGTGGTGTGGCTGAGTGTGCGGGGTGGGGACTGACGTGAAGTCGGCTACAGAATTATTCTCTCCAGAATTCTGCTCCAGGGCGAAGCTGTCCCTGCTCCTGGAATGAGCAGGGTCTGAGGACTGTGGGCGACCCAGGCCTTCTCTCCAGCCTCGAGCAGAAGGGAGAAAGGATGAGGAGGATGGTGTGGCCTATTTCATAGACTTCACCGAGCCAACCCTGTACCCCTTTAACACCTCCAGATACTCCTGTGTGCAGTTTCAGCGTCCCCCTCTCAGGAGCAGATGTGACTGTGTGCATTTCTGAGCTCCGCAGTAGGAAGAGGTCTGTCGTGAGCCGCCTCGTTCCTCATCATAGATGGACTCCCCCTCCTCCCATCCCACAGGTCTCTGACTCTCACAGCATCCCAGTTCTCTGCCTTTAGCCAGGGTGGGCAGTAAGAGGAGAGGTAGTGAGGAACCCATCCATTGAAAAGCAAGCCTATCTCCAAACCTGTGTGACAGCCTGAGGCACAAATTCCACAGCTGGCTTGGCTGCGCCAGCCTGACCTTATCTGTCACAGCACAACCACCTCCTGTGGTTGGTCCTTTATTAAAAAAAAAAAAAAAAAAAAAAAGCTCTGAGATTTTATCAATTATTGGGTAATATGGACAATCTACTAGCTTCACAGGAAACCAAAATTTGAGCCTTTAAGACTTAAAAACAAAAAGGTAATCTTAAGTGTCTTCATCGTTTTGAAGACACAATGATTGCATTTAGAGGCCTGAAAGTTTTTACGCATAATTGGTTGATTGAGAGGGAAAAACAACAGACCCTTTAAAATGGGCTTGTAGAATATGTGGTGTTTGATATAACAGTGCCTAAAGCCCCAAAACGATGGGCTGCAGGCTGTTTACACCTTACACAGGCCCACATGCTTACACACAGGCCCACACAGACAGAAAAATTTAAGATTATTATGGAAAAAAGAGTCTTTAGTAGCAAGTATTTGATGTTGTAACCAAGGTGACGTTTCCTGATAGAATAAGGTTTTCAGGAAATATATGGAATAATTTTTTCAAATTTTATTACCGAGTGTGATAACAACTGATGAAAGTTTTACCTGGTGGTTTTTAAGATAACATGATGTCTCACTGGTCCTATTCTAGGTGTCCTGCTATGAAGCAGGACATGCCAGGTAGAGTGTGATAAACCGGCAAGGCGACTGAGTCATTTTACTCCTGGTGATGCGGGAAGGGAAGATGAGGAGGGAACACAGACCTGGTGTCAAATGAACAAATACATGCCCCACAGCTCCAGAGGGAGGCCTCAGGCAGGCTTATCGCCTCTTAGAATCTCTGTCCTCAGAGGGTTTGGCTCAGAGGGTTTTGGGGGGACAAGATGAGATTGGGTAGATCAGTACCTCTCCTTCCCAGCAGAACCAGCAGCTTCTTTTCACCCCTGGAACAGCCAGGCCACCCTGCTTCCTGTCCAGTGGCCCTTCCTGCATGCACTGCCCCTGGCCCACTCCTCAGTGGCTGAGCCCCTCTTTTTGAGGACACACATCCTAAAGCACCTGTCACTCAGGGCCGCCCATGAAAAGCTGCTGACCCCAGGCTGTTTCCTCTGGGTCCTTTGGGCTGCCTTCCCTGCAACCAAGAGCCACATGCCAGACTTTTAAACCCTCTGCTTTCAGAATCATCCAGAAGCACAGATTTCAGGAAACACTGGGTGACTGGAAGCAAGCCATGCAGAGGTGAATGTTCTGGATGTTGCCAGCCCACTCATGAAGCCCGCTTCCCAGCCCTCACCTCCTCCGCACTGGCGCCAGCCCACCTCACGTAGTTACATCACTGATCAACAACAGGCACGATTCTCCTTGGGGTCTTTCCGGACCCCAAGATCTCTCAGAGCAACCGTGGAAACAGAAGTGAGAGTTCTGAAGCCAGAGGAGTTGAGTTCTATAGTCAGGGAGAGCTTGTACATGGGACACAGGTCAGGGAAGTTAAGCTCCATGCCAAGGTCCCCTAACCCAGGGGCCAGAGTGGGCCTGAACCCAAGACATCTGCCCACGCAGGACAGACACAGGGCGGCCCACAGGGAGGAGAGCCTGCTCTGCATCCTTCGGAGCCTCCAGGGTATTGGGCTTTATTCTATGAAGAGGAACCATCCGGGGTATTATTGTCACAGGCACCGTGATCATGCTCACCGCACTTGCAAAGAGGCCCCTCTCGTCTATTCTCATGAGTCCTAGGCAGTGAGATTTTCTTTTTAAGCAAATGTTTATCCATTGTTCCTCTAGACAAGGGTAGATATTACAGACTCTGTACGATTATTTTTAAATGTACACATCCTGTTTGTGACCTTTAAGGAAGGCTCTCTGGGAAAGGTATCGATTTCCCAATCTAAGGCGACTTCCTGAGTTGTCAGTGACCACAGTGAGAGCCAGAGCCACAGGCACAGATGTAGTTGTGATCAGGAGACTTGTGACTTATTTTTAACATAATTTTTCTTGCCTTATTCCCGTAAGTACCTGAGTAGCTAAAAGAGAATTCAAGTAGATTATGATCACTTTTAGCCTCTTCTCCCCCATTTTAGTAATTATCTCCTTCTCGTTTACACAGATAAACTTACACTTTTCTTAATAGGAGAGAGCTTCACGTGACAGGGAGAGGTTGTTCCTCCTGTATCGGAGCCCATCTCTCCAGTATGATCATCCTTATGGTTCCCTGCCCGGGTTAGCAAAGGCTGCTGGGCACCTGCTCTGTGTGGGGGTCCCAGGGTTATGGAAAAGAAACCGCAGATGTGCCCATGGCCCTAGGAGTTTGCCACTGGAGACGGCACTGGTGTGTTGTCTCACTGCCTCATTCACTGTTTTCCTGAGGGCTTACTGAATCGTTGTGTGAATAAAATTCTAAAGTTAAATGGAAACTTGACACTAATATTGCACACTGTGCTTGAATACAAAGCTTGTTTGAAGATCACAGAGTTATATGAAAAGCCTGCCACCTCCCATAGTCTCCCTGTGCACCTCGCCCCTCGTCTGGGCTGCATGTGCTCACAGGCGCTCCGAGTTTCATGCCAACTCGTGTCCACAGGGGAGCAAACTTCGACCTCACTCAGTGGTGGAGCTGGCCAAGTTCGGGGGGCAGGGATCTGTGGGTATTGCCCTCATTCTTCCACATGGCTGTCAGCATCCCTTTGTCCCAGGTGACATGTTTGCTATTTGCTATCAGTTCTTCCGTGCTGAAGTATAAATGAGTAAAATACCTGTAACTTAACAGATGGCAGTTTCCAGCCAGATTTCTTCAAAAGGACACATGAGCACACAGAGACCTTCTAGGTGGAACCAACAGGGCTCCAGTGACGGAATGCTGGGCGGTGGGCTTGGCACTTCCTGCGCCCCTGCTTCTAAAATCACACCTCTGAACCTTCCTCTCAGCTTCCAGAGACAGGACCAGGTGACTGTGCCCTTGGACAAATCGGGCTGGTGTGTTTTGACAGAGAAAGCTCTTGTCTGAAGTGCCTGTGCCAGCTGCCACAGAAGAGTGACACGGGAGCCTGAGACACAGGTTCTCTGCATGGTCTTGGGAAGGAGTGGCAGGTTTCCAGGAGCTGGCCCTGTACTTTAAACTCCCAGCCATTTACCCTTCTCCAGGAGGATCCTAGACCCCTCTTTGTTGAGAATCAAATTGAAAGTATTGGCCGGACGTGGTGACTCATGCCTGTAATCACAGCACTTTGGGAGGCCGAAGCGGGCGGATCACCAGGTCAGGAGTTTGCGACCAGCCTGGCCAACATGGTGAGACTCTGTCTCTTCGAAAAACACAAAAATTAGCTGGGTGTGGTGGCGGGTGCCTGTAATCCCAGCTACTCAGCAGGAAAATTGCTTGAACTCAGGAGGCGGAGGTTGCAGTGAGCCGAGATCATGCCACTGCACTCCAGCCTGGGTGACAGAGCAAGACTCCATCTTGAAAAAAAAATAAAGAAAGAAAGAATTTCCACACACATCAAGCCAGAGACAGTGTGAGAAGACTGAGCCTGGGCAGAAAAGGGCATTGTTGCTTTGGTCGTCCTTATTTCACATGGTGAGGTTCATGCTCTGTGTGTCTGTTCTCGTCCCATGAAGGTCTCTGTCGTGTCTCCAGACCATGTAAGCGACAGCACTGTCTCTGCCCGGACCTCGGACAGCAGCCTGGCACCAGTGGCCGACTTCAGTTACCCTCCAGAATCCTCCTCCTGCTTGGACAACTCTGCAGCTAAGCACAAGCTCCAGGTCAAGCCCCGCAACCAGCGGTCGAGTAAGATGAGGCGGCTTTCATCGGTAATTGGGTTTCCTTCTCCACACAGAGGCAGGCCAGGCAGGCTTAACACACCCCCCGCAAACCCGCACAACCTCACTCCCTCCCACAGGGTCTCGTGCCCCTCCGAGCACTCCCACAGTTGATGGAGCCATGCTGCAGAAGATGAAGTTGCTCATCATTTTAAACATAATCCAGATCTGTCTCTCCCTTGCAGAATCGCTCCATTCATCCATCCATCCATCCGTCTGTCCGTCATTCCTCACACACTCACTACTGAATGCTGGTTGCCTTCCCCGTGCACTCAGAGTAAAGTCCACACTCCAGGCCTGGTACATCAGGTCCTGCCTACCCCTCAGGCTTCTTACCTTTCTCACTCAGCACTCTGGCCACCTTTCTGCCTCTTGAGCTCACAGCTGCCTCTAGCCTCAGGCCTTGGTGCTGCTGTGTCCCAGCCTTGGGGCCTGAGAGTCCCCCAGAGAAACTCACCTGCCCGTTCACTTCCTTCAGAGCACTCGCCTCATGCCAGAGCGACCTTTGTAAATGGATGTGCTCTTATTGCCAGTCTTCTTTGAGACCCTGTCCCGGCTGCACTTTCAGCCCTTAGAACATTTCGGGTCACAGAGTTGTTGAATGACAACAGTTGTTGGATGAACGACGGAACAAATGAATGAGTGAATTAACAAATGAGTGAATGAAAGAAGCCGAAACACTAGCGTGGACACCTGCCTTGGACGAGGGCCTACTCAGTAGCATGGAGAGAAAAGATAGACCCCTCTCTGGGTGTGCTGCCTTGGGGTGTCGTTACCTCCTAGTCCTAGAAGCTGAGAAACTGGTTCATGGAACACTTTGGCTTCATTTACTGGCAGGTTCGAGGTTCACACAGGGTTGTTCCCTCTCCCCTACCTGATGGGCACTGTAACACCTCCCCCCTGGAGTGGGGGCCAGCCTGGCCACAGAGAATGACAGTGCTGATAAAGAGATGCTCATAGGCTAACATCCTGTGTCCTTCCCTGGCGACATGATTGGGGTGTGTTGGTGACGTACTCAGGGCAAGCTGGGTGCCTCAGCTGCAGACAGTTGGACTAGGGCCACTCAGGAGTTCAGCAGCTCCCCGAAGAGAGCGAGTTTTCCTTTGGGCATATGGAAGGTGCTCTTTAAACTCATGTCAGCAGAGTGGACTTCTGAGGGGACTAATGCTGGGGAAAGAAGCAAGGTGAGTTACCTTCAGGCTGATGTGCCAGCTAGGAACCAGGATACTTGTGCCATAGGTGTGTGTATCCAGTGCATGTACAGTTAGAGGCTGTGTGCTGTGTCAGTGTGACAAGGTCCAGTCACTGAAGACCTGCCTGTCCTCGTGCTGAATGAGACCACAGGGCCAGGGGCTGCTCCCTTCTGGTCCTCAAGTCTGTGATTTATGACTCCCATGGGGATGTCTTTTGCTCTGGCCAGGGCATTTATAGCCAGCCACAACCTGGCCAGGACTTGGTGACAGAGCGAAGCCTGGTGTCTATTCCAGGTGGAAACGCAGCCTCCCTTCTTGCTCCCATCTGGGCAGGGCTGTATCCTTCTTTCTTTACATTTGAACTTGACTTAGTTCTTGAATCCCACTTTGTAGAATAACAGAAAACCTGATGTAGCCAGTCTGTGCAAACAGGTAAACACAGCCTTTCCTTGATTTCAACTGTCACATCCATGGTCTTTCCCTCTTTTCCCCTTCCCTGCTTGGTAAGGAGCAGGCATAGGTATCTTAAGTTCTCAGAGGTGTCCATATCTTCCTCCATCCACTGTTGTGGAACCTGTGATGCTGGGGGCCTCTGTCCTTCAGTGTCCATAGCACCCTTTGCCCTTTGGTCATGAGGTCCCTCTTCCCAACCATAAGGATCTTCCTTGTGGCCTGGCCCCTCTCAGGGACGAAGGTGCTTTCAGATGCTCCCTAAATGCTCCCAGGACGGGAAAGAACACGCATGCCACCCCCTCTGCTGCCTTGTGTGGGCTCCGTGACTGATAGTTTTAAAAGGTGACCTCCATCCTAGTTTAAAAGGAAACCTCCAAAGAGGTTTCAACATCAGCAGTTTCCTGTAGTAGCAGAAGGTCATCAGCATGGCAAAGTAAAGGACCTGCAACTTTTGAAAGTTCTTCTGTAGCTTTCTTTGTGCCTCTTCCTCTTTTTACATCCAGAAGAATAGGATCGTGTATTTTGGTGCGAGTTTGCTTAGGTATTGTCACAGACATCCCAGGCATCCTGTATTCTATTAGCAAGCAGATGCCATGAAAAATGTTAAAATAATAACAAACAGCAAGAAGAAAAACCTATTGCAAACATACCCTGAGTGTCACATTTCCTGCTTTAGACAAAGGGAAGGAGAGAGCAATAGCCTGGGCGACTCTTGGTGTCTGATATCACGAACTTTCTAAAAAGATAGTCTCTACACCATGAACCTTTTGGTCATTTCCACATGTTACTTTTGAATGGTTCTCGGTTACCTGGAGCTCCTATCCTTCCCGAGAGAGCAGGAACTGACTCTGTGACAAAAGGAGGAAGCTGGACTGGAATCTGAATTCTAGAGATCTTTCAGAAGAATATCACAAGGCAGCATACGTTTGCCAAGCCAGTAGGGCTTCAGGAGGTTAGAGAAGGGGGGAATCTTAAACTGCAAAGAGTGGGAGAGTTTGAAGCAGTCCTTGGGGGTCCTGGTAGAATATCTTGGAGGTTGGGGGCAGGGGGGGGGGGGAGAGTGGGGAGGTGACAGTCACTCAGACCAAGTGTCTGGCGCAGTGTTGAGGGCTTGGTTTGACCTGAGTAGGGAGTGGAAGAAACAACTTAAGACCAGAGAATCTAGGACTGTAAATTTAGCTGAAAATTTTGGTTTTATCCTATATAGCTGTGGTTAGCTATTGGCATGATACGAGCCATCTTTTAGGAAAACCAGTCTGACTTTACTATGAGGGTGCACTCCTAAAGTGTTGACATGGGAGACTGGCTGGGATGAACACAGGGCCATAGAGCCCCAGCTGTTCAGCTCCGCCACCTGCTCCGCCAGGCTTGAACAAGGTATTGGCCTCTCTGAGCTCCTGGCTCTCAAGTGCAAAAAGTGACTCATCATCCCTTCCTCACTGGGATGAATGGAGGATTAAATGAAATAACAAGTGTGGAGCACAGAGCATGGCAGACGCTGGCTGCTGTTGGTCGCCTTCCCTTGGCGTTACTCTCTAGTCCACTGGTTTTGAGGCTCTGTCAGAGGAGCTGTAGACTTTTACTTGGGAGGCATATCTGCCATTGTCCCGATACACCTGTGAGCCCAAGTAGACCAGGAGGATACAAACTGAGAAAAGACACCCGTGGGTACATGCCTACTTAAGTGCCAACTTTAGAGTGCTGCTATCACTGCTATCACTAAGCCATTACAAGCCTTGAAGAAAGTGGGGAGCTGACAGGCTTCCTGGAATTTGCTATAGTGACGATGCTTTTTATCTTTCTTTCTCTCAGCGCGCTCAGTCTGAATCCCTGAGCGACCTGACGTGCACCCCAGAGGAGGAGGAAAACGAGGAGAAGCCACTGCTGGAAGTCAGCCCAGAAGAGAGTCCCAGCTCTGGGCAGCAGGACGTGCCGCCAGACAGAGGCCCTGAGCCTGGGCCACCGGCGCCCTTGCCGCCACTCGGAGGGGTCCGTGCCAGACG